CTCTGGATACAGCCCAAAACACTTCCATTCCATGCAAAACTGAAACTTTTTGGTGAAATTTCAAGAAGTGAACAGAGGTCTGCCAGCCTGGGGTTTTCTCTGAAACGGGGGAAAGGTGGCTCCTTGTCTCTGCTCTGATAAACACTTGGAGAAAACCTGTCCGGGTGCACAGGCCCTGGAAGAGCTCAATCCCCTGCTCCTGTTGATACCTTTTCTCTCCCTCAGGCTCACAACAACCTGGAATGCCGTATTACACAGACCCGGGCGGACCCGTGATGAATCCCATGGCTATGGCTTTCCACGTCCAGCCCAATTCCCCGCAAGGAAACCCGGTTTATCCACCCCCGCCTTCCTACTGCAACACACCACCTCCCCCTTACGAGCAGGTGGTGAAATCCTCCACGTGAGGAGACTCTGGCTCTCTGACCTGACTGTGGGAGAAGAAGGTGCCACCGGATAATGACGGAGATGGAGGGCACGTCCGCCCTTTGGAACACTTGCTAGTCCTCCAAGTCCTCTCCCCCTCCCTTCCCTGCACCTTTCCTCATTAAAGTTACTTGCAAAGGGGTGATTTTTAAATTTTTGTTGTTGTTGGGTTTATTTTATTTTTTTTTTTAGTAGAAGTGGGTTTTTTTCTTTGTCTTGGAAATGAGAGAAGTCGTCTTTGTAATGCTTTTAATGGAAACCTACATTTCAAACCTGTATGTCTTTCTCTTTATTTACTGTCCGGTTAATTGCGCTGTGGCAGGCTACCGACAGCGGTTCCTTAAGCGACCCCGGTGTGCCGAGCACTCTCCTAGAGACCCCGCAGGAAAAAATGCCCTCACCCAAGGGAAATGACCAGGAAAAGAGGGTGCAGAGAAGAGGCAGGGCAATGCCTTTACCAAAAATGGTGACCCCCATCTTTTCCACGTTGGTTCTGATGCACGGCAGAAGGGCGCGGTGACGGAAGGCGCTGTGACTGAGCACCCACCTTGGCCGAGTCACGGCGGGGGCTTTGCCGGGTGCCCTGGGAAAGAGGGAGTCGTTACTTAACGCGATGCATCTCAGGAGTGAAGGACCTGGACTGGAGTTGTTTTTTGACTCTGCCTGTGTGGGCGGCATCCTGGCTCCCCTGGTTTTGCCAGCAGCGGGGCTGTGGGAAACAGCCGATGGCGGCAGCGAGAGGGAGGTGTTATAACCTGAGCGCTGCTTGTGCCGCACGTGGGTACGGAAACACGGGTACGTTTTCTTCCCTCAACTGGAAAATAGTTACAGTAAGAGCACGCTCCAGGTTTGCTCCCTTTGACCTTGACGGGAGTTTAGTCCCTGAGAAACAGGAGCTTTCGTTGCGCTCTTGCTGCTGGCACAAGGAGTACCAAGTAGGGCTGCCATCTCCAGGTGACGGGTCCGTACAGCCCCTCTGCTCGCTCGGCCAGGCAAGTCAATAACTTCTGGGGGCCTGGTGCTTAAGAGCCGATCCTGTACCTGATGCGCAGATGGTTTGGCTTTCGATGACGCTTGGCTCCTTGTGCGTCTTCTGGTGAGCAGTCCCAGGATTCCCAGCTCACGGACTGATGCTCGTGGCTGAGTGATCACAAGTCAACAGCCCCAAGTAAGCACAGAGCCCCTGTGCCTGAGCGGGCTGTCACACCCTCCTGTGCCTGGCCAAAACGTGAAGCCACTCCGCGACCTGACGACGTACGGCTGGACCTTCTCCCTTCGTGCACAACCAGAGCGACAAAAAGAAGACGCCGTCGCCTTCTGCTGCTGAAGGACCTGCAGGAACCGCACAGCTGAGGGTTAGGAGTCCCGCACGCTCCTTTCGGTACCGGGGGACCGCCTACTCGCTGCCCACGCACTGACTGTACCTGTGTCACTCCAGCCGGGGCACGGGAGGCACCGGGGGGTTTGGAGTAACCTGAAATCCCGGATTGCACAGGGAGCCAAAGCTGTCGGTGCGTGCCGGTGGCTTGCGAGGACTCGGTCCTGGGCGGCGGGCTGGGTTCGCAAACTGGCAGAAAGGAGCGTCCCTTTTACTATGAACGTGAATCTCACCGCAAACCCCTAAGGGTCGCTCTTTCTCACAGCTGCTGGCGGAGTCGGCAGCCCTCTGGAGCAGCGCTGGTTTTGGAGGAGCACGTTCCCGCGGGCCTGACTTGGGGGAAATGGTGACTGAGGCATTCCCTTATCGGGCATCGTGGTAAGGGACAAGGCCGAGTACTCCTCCCTGTGCGGTGTAGGCTCGGCGGAGAGGAAGGACCGTTTTATACAGGGTTACCGTGCCCGCCTGCGCACCACCACGGTGCGTGTGGTCCGAACGCGCGTGCGCTCGACGGTGAAAGCTGCGTGCGTCACTGAACACGGCTGTGTATGTGTGACGTGAGAGAGGTGGCCTTCAGTCCTTGTAGGTGACGCAAAGTACCGATGGCGGCTGGCGTTTTCCTGGACACGTCGGATAGAAGCCGTTTATAGCGAAGTCTTAACGCTGTACGCGGAAAATTGAACTTCTGGCCAAGTTTTCCTCAAGTCTGGCTGGTTTGTCTGCTGGTGTCGATGGGTGACACTACCTGTTAGAACAGATGCGCTCCGGCTAGCAAACTGGTGTGGGCAGCCGTACGAATTACTGGCCAACTGTTTACACACCTTTCCTCTTGTTGCCTCGCTTTGGGATTTTTTTCTTAAATTTTCTTTTTTTTCCCCTTATTTCTTTCCCTCCTAGTATAAAAAAGTGGGGAGAAAGAAGGGAGAAGCCCTGTAACTTTGGTAGGGTGACGCCAACGATAGGAAGTTGACTTGGACATCGTGCGTTTTGCGGGGTTGGGTTGGAGGATGGATGGAGCAGAAACGGGTCTTTCTCCAGCCTCGGGGGGGGGGCGTCTGTTGCTCATAAATCTTGTGCAGGTTTTTCTTTTGAAATGCATTTTATTAAAGTAAGATTGGATGTTGCTGTACCTCTGGCGCTCTTCATTGCTCCTTCCTGAGCTGGGTGTTTGAAGTTCCTTGTGTTACCAGGTGCGTGATCGCATGCCTGCAGCGGAGGAGGAAGGCAGGGGTAGTGCCTGGTTCCTGCAGGGGCGTTTGGTACCCAGGGTTTTAATGCCTCGGGCAGAACGGAGATGCTTAAGCCGAGCCACTGAGCTCAAGGCGGGAGACAGGAACATAAACAAGGTCCTTCCTTCAGTTGTGCGCCCTCAAAACGTGTCTCATGCCTGGGAAGAGGCAGCAATCGGGATGAACGTGTAAGGAAACCGTTGAGGTCTCTGCTGCTGCGTTCCTGGCAGAAATGGGAATGAGAAGGGCGTCAGTTCCTTTCTGCCACGATGAAACGTCCAAGCCCCCGGCACCACTGGGGACTCCTGGCACACTGCATGTGGCTGGTCCAAGGTTTGTGCTGCAAGCCCAGGCTGCGCGGCAGGATGGGAACCTTCCCCTTTCTGGGGCTGGGCAGCTGGCTTGCAGCGGGAGGTTTCAGTGTCGGTGGCATCTCCCCCTGAAGAGGCACAAAGGCTACGGATGACTGGTTGTGCCCCGCGCCCTGGGGATGGTGTGGGGAGGGAGGGAGCAGAGGTCTCATTTAAAGGACCCCGTGATCCTTGCATGCAGCTTGTGCTTCCAGGTACGCTGTCATCATTTGTCTCCAAAGGACTATCAGAGGTGGAATTCCTGGAACGCTGCATCTCTCAACAGGGAGTCACCCACCTCCTCAGGCAGCAAACCTTCCAAACCTTGGGTGTTTTCAGGGACCTGCCCGTGTTTCTGAGCAGGTTCCATCCGCTGCTTCCTCTTCCACCATCACTGGCGAGATGGAAAATTCCCATGTGCTTTCCTTCCACTTAGCCGTGCTCTCAGCCGCGTGATGATGACGACCAACACCCCATCTGCCCTGCCCCCTGCCACCCTACCGCTGTCCCACCAGCCCCGTGTCCCCCTCGTTCACCTTGTGCAGACTCTGCTCTCCAGCCGGAGGGAACACGCGATTTCTGGGATGTTTTTCCGGTCATCAATTGGGCCAGTCTGGCTACAGGTACTAAAACACCTCGAGTTTTGTTCTGGATTATGTTACATCGATTGGCTGCCTGATGAGCGCTAAGGGTAAACGCTCGGGACAGACGTATCCCCACTCCTCCACTCCCTGGAAGCGCATCTCTGGCGGAACAGACCTTAAATCTGCTCCTGAGCTGCCTGTCACATGCACTGCAGATGGGGGGTGGGGGTGCACAAATGCTCAGCTCCATAGGTTTGGGAAGAAAGCTCAATCCCAACCCCGATCGGCTTTCCTGGAGTCCTGCAGGCCCATCTGAGGTGGGGAGTGCCATGGAGAGGATTGTGGTTGGGGATGGGCATGAGCCGGCACCGACCGAGGGACCAGAACGATCTGGCTTCCATCAGTAAAGGCTCCATGGTAACGGGTGAGCTGTTAGTAAGTTTGAGGGTTCGGAAGGCGCCCCAGATCGTGGGAGAGGGGCAGACATCACCTGCAGCGCCTCCTGGGAACGGGCAGGCTACTCACGGGATGTGCTGGCAGCAGGAGGGCACCAGCCCTGCCGTCTCTCCTGGGGGCTGCCAGGCAGCTGCTCCCGTTTCCTTATCGCTCCGAGGACAGACACTGCAGAACAGAACGGGAAAAGACAAGCTGCTCTGTTTCGGGGGTGGGTTTTCCTCCTGGGAGCCCTGTGCCAGCTGACGCTGCTGTGGAAGCAAACAGCCGGGACTACGAGCTTTCCCGGCAGCGCGGCACACGGAGGGGCAGAGGGAGCATGGCTCTTCCTTCCCTACTTCAGCAACAAACCCCCGGCGGGTCAGTTCCGTAGGTCCAGACCCAAGGGGCCACTTCGGCACACGGGTCAGCCCAGGAGATGAACCACTTTGTCAGGGATGCCCGTGCCCTCCAGCCAGGCATTTTTCCTGGTCCATCTAGCGCATCCCCGCCCATTCAGGGGCTGAGCGAAATGGGGTCGAAGGCTCCGTGGGAGCCATCCCTTCTGATGCCCTTGGGGATTTCGGCGTAGGGGATTTTACTGTTGTTCCTACAGGGTGGGACAGCGGAGAAAGCAGAGGGAACAGGGACAGGCAGCCTCTGGTGCCAGCGCTGGCGGATGGAGGCAGCTCCTTAGCGGCACACAGGTGGAGTTTTGGCTTTAGGGAGCAAGAGAGGTCACAGAGAGAGCCGTGTGTATCGCTGTGTGTATCCCTCGCTCCGGATTTTCCTCTTGCTGCCTACCCCATGCTGGCTCCTGCGCCTGTGGAGCGACACCGACTGGAACAATGGGGGGAAGAGTCAACAATTTCACCAGGAAAAGACAAATGCTGCATCGAACCAGACATGCTGCCCCTTGCTTGCAGCATACCTGAAGCTTTAACCTTCTGTTAAAGCCGGGCTGGACACAGACACCCAGCCTGGGAAACTGATGATCGGCAGCTGGAATGAGAAACAGGAAGGAAGGAGTCTGACAAAAAAAGAAGAATCACGGGAATGACCACCACACAGCTCTTTACTGAGAAAAGCAAAGAACAGAACATCAGCATTTTGTGGTTTTCCTTTTTTTTCCTGCCTAACGAGCGTCTCCACTTAACAACACTACTGCAGCAGACGGACTATTACGCACGGACAAAGCAAACCAGGGAACGTGAAGACATTTTCCACACTTCTCGTTTGACTTCCACTGTTTTTCCCCTTCACGGAATAGCCTTTCTTAACGGGGCCCCCTGGGTAGCCCA